ATGTTTCCTAGGGCTAACGACTTTAATGCTACGTATCACCTTTTGCAGCGAAACGTTTTGAGCTTAAACTTGTTGCAACACCTGAGAAAGTTCCCTAAAAACATAAAGTTCGCCGTAATGACAGTGACGTTGGTCGCCAGTGCACATCCGTGGCCGGTGGTACCAGCAGCGATGTTCACTGGTGCTCAATAAGCTTCACATTTTTCACCAACCTCCGAAAAATCTGCTGAACTACAAAAAAAACGTTGCTGGCGGCGTTACACATTCTACGCTCTAGATGGCGACTTTATGCCAAAAGTGTCATTGAAAATGAGCGAGGGTTTGAAAGATTTCGAAGGACTTTGGCACTGGAGTATTAGATTTTTTACCCAGAAGTTCGGAGGAATCGATAGAGAAGACCTAATTGATTTCTGGAAACGTAGAGGGCTGAAGAAAGGCAGATACTATTCACCTTGTGTGGTGATGATCCAGGAAGGTGATCTCAGAGTAGAAATTTTCTGTGTTGATTACCTTGCATTTCTAAGGTGCTCAGTTTGCTATTAGATACCAACCGAGTATGGAATATGTATTATAATACCAGAACAGGAAGAGAAAGTCATGATGAGGAGAAGTGATCTGGTGACAGCTATGTGCCCTTATCAGTTGTTATCACTTCTATGTACGATCCATCATATTCCACATCGCCACTCACTCACTAAACGGCCAAGGTTCCGCATTTTTACCCCGATGCTCGTTATGAACTCGACAATTTTTATCTCCTAAAGCCCCTGAGTCCCTCTACACCCCACACCACCTACAAAGTGCCACGGTCCCACTGTCAACACGAAGTAGGTCACCATTCATGTGATTCCCGTTCTCCATAGCTAATTATCATCCTTTATCAGTTTCTTTCGTCTTTTCATCGCTGTGCCTTCAGGATTACGAGAGCAGCAGTAATGCCTTTACAGGAAGACATACTCGAAATGACAGTTCTGCTGAAAATCTCGATTATTGCCTGATGGCGTAGGCAGCAACCACTATCACAATTTTACATGCCAAGCTATACCTTCCTAACACTTTGAGAATCATAACATGTTCATTGAAATCTATAAAAAGGTTATCACAGGCAATACCGTTAACAATACATTTCGTGTATAACATAATACACTAATAAAATACGTGAAACGTTACCTCGTAGAGCTATTGGAACGAAAAATATAATACTACAATCGCACTTCGACATGGAAGCTTCAAGATCACCGCCTAACGTAAAGAAACATTCTCAAAGAAATGAATATGATGAAACCCAGGTCATGAATGTACATATGTGGCAGATGTGGCAACAAAATTACAAAAGTCGACCTTTGAGAGCTGGAGGTGTAGTCACGTTACA